CTCTGGTTCTCACACATGAACAACCCTCTCTTCTTCCTCCTTGGATCAGCCCTTGGTTTTTGGCTAACCCCTAGTTTTCCCTCTCTATTTTCTCTCAAACTCTCTGCCTCTACAAAGTGGCGTGAATAGGGTTTTAAAAGCCTTTCACAGACTATCTCTATGTATATATAATACTAACTAATATACCCTACTCCTAATTGCAATACTAGTCTACTAACTAAAAAGAAAAACAAATAAAAAGGAAAATAAAGGAAAATATGTAATATACAAACATATACATATACATATAATATATAATTATATGTATCTATATATATATATATTATGACTTATTCAATATTAATACTATTAATTAATTACAAATAATAGTAATAGTAATAAGAATAAACTATCCTTAATTAAATACATATATGTCTAGATATATATATATATATATATATATTCAACTATTCATGGTCAATTAGAATTTAATTAATTGTTTTAGGTGCATTTTAATTGAGTAATTGATTATCTATTTTATGTGCATTTAAATGTGATTATATGGCTATGTGTTTAATTGTAATTGTTTATTTATTTTAAATTAATTGTTTAATTGTTATTTGGTATATTTATTTTAAATTAATTGTCGGATTGTTATTTGGTTTAATTACTTGATTATTGGTGATTTAATTGATGTGTAATATTTAGTAGTTTATATAATTTATTTGTTAAATTCTATGTATGCTTAGGTGGATTAAATTCGTTGGTAATTTGTATGTGTCATATGTTATAAGGTTTTATGTTTATGTAATTATGGTCGTTGACTTATAGTTAGGTTGGAATTAGGGTTAGGTTTTATGGAAGCCTATATATACATAAGTTATACGTCTGTTAGGGTTAGAAAACCTTATTCACGTAATAGTTCTTGAGAGGGAAAACAGAGGCACACGGAATGGTTTTTGAGAGAAAAACAGAGGAAGCTTGAGAGGGACTGTGAGAACCACTAGTTAGGAGTTCAGCTGTGGACTGAAGGTCGTATCAAGGAGGGAGGAATGGATGGCTTGTGGGATTGAAACAGAGCGGTAAGAGGTTTACTGGTGGTCGGCAGTCGTCGGAGAATTTAGAGACGACGTTGAAAGGTTTCAAACCGAAACCTAAACGCAAGTTTCATTATATCTCTTTCCTGTAAACTTGTATTCTGTGCATTCTAAATAGTCTCCAGGAATCTAATTAAATTTTAAAATGGATGTTTATGCATGTTAGATTAGGCTATAATCTTTTTTACGTTCTTGTAACTAAAACTATGTTTCTTGCATAAACTGTTTTGTTTCGATTTTAAATTTTTGTACAACAATGCTTGTTGAAATTTGAGGATTTTTTAGGACTGTTGGGACTTAATTGAACCCTAAGAACTTTAAAAAAAAATTGAAGCATAGGGTTGAACTTCACCGGAAGCAAAGAAGACAAACTGAGGAGACGGAGAGGGGAAAGCCGGCTCTGGAAGTCTAAGAGCCGGCTCCCATGATGGGGGAGCCAGCTCCCTTGCCAAAATACCCCTTTAGGGTGTTTTCTGATTTTTTTTTTTATTTCAGGGGCTTAAAGGAAATTTCTGGAGATTGATGGGAGCTTTTAAATGTTTAAAATTAACCTGTTGAAACCTTAAAATAGTCAGTATATGCTAGTGAGTTGATATTAAGGGACATCATGATTTTTAAAGATTAGTATGCATACTGTCCAGAAAGGGGGGGAGGATTTAATTTGCTATTTTGTTGTAGCAACTTAAATGGACTAATATGAATGTTATTGTTAGGATTTTATATTAATGATATGTATAAAATATTTGAGTTCCAGGAGTGTTGGTTATGCTGTGGTTATGGACGTCATGGAATTTTAACTAATAAGTTGCATGCTGTCAGGAGTTGTAAAAGTTTTAGTTGCTAGTTTTGTGTTAGCGAACTAAATGGACCAGTATGAAAATACTATTGGGAATTCATATAATGTACTCTGTCTAGCTTCTGAGTGTCATTATATCGTGTGCAGGATTTATAAATTGAGGATTAAAGGGACGTTATGGGATTTAAATATTAATTTGCATGCCGTCAAGGATTGGGGAGGATTTAATTACTAGTCTTTGTTTTAGTAATTTAAATGGATTGGTACAAAAGCATCTTTGGGATTTTGGTTTAATATGCTCAGTTGATACTGCTGATTATCATTATACCATGCTATGGATGTTAATTGATGAACTGTTTTAATTTCTGTTCTGTCAATTATGTGAATATGGTTAGTTTGAATTATTTAATCTTATTTTAGCAATTTAAACGGAGGTACTATGATTATAATCATATACTGGATGCATAATAGGATCTTATCTATATCTGATTTCTATTATGTTGGTTTTTGGATGTACTTGATGTTCATTTGAGTGTGTATTATTTATGGATCGTATGCATTATATGTACCGGTATGGGACGGTGGCATATCAGGGACGGATTAAATCAAAACGCTAAATCCTACCTGTTCATACATACGGAATGAGTTAACTAAAATAGTTAAATCCTACATGGATGCATGTCCTGTTAACTAAAATAGTTGAACGACATAACAGATATTTGTTTTATTTTTCTGTATTAGGAAGGATTTATATATATACTTATGGTACTGTGATATGAGCTTGAGTCTCAGGATCATGGTTAGAGTGTGTATATGGCAAATGATGCGTAATTGGATATTGTTGATGTTCCCTGACAGGAGATGTACATGGCCACTGGAAAGTATGATTTACATGTTTCCTTCTATTCAGGCTAAACTACACTATAGGCTAGTGAGCATCCTATAGTGTGTATCTATATCTGTATGGACTATTTTAGTTATTGCCGAGCTGTCTAAGATGTATCTGTGTATCGGGTTTATATATGGATTGCAGTAGGATGAAACTTGCATATAGACCTGACCCACTCTTATTTTTCAGGTGTTCGTCAGTACCAGGCTTGGAGCTTAATCGTGATGAAGCAGATACAGTCACTCACTCTTCCAACTACATAGGATTTCCTTTTATATTATAGTTTGGATGTTGGTTCTATAATTTATTTTCATTTGAAATTATTAAGTGTCCACTGGATGGATTCCTGAGTTGTACGGATTGAGAAGATTAAATTATATTAATTTATTATAGTGGAGGATTTTTATATTTAGAATTCTTTTCAGCGTATTATTTACTTTTAATTCTTTTGTACTTTTGCTTGTTTACATATTGATTATTTGATATCCCTCGAATCTGTACTCAGACTTGATCACCCGTGGCTCTAGAATCGAGGGGTATCACACAAGTAGTCAATGCGACCCAATTGGTTGGTCCATTGCTACTATCCATATCCATATCCTTAAAAGTAAAAATAAAATAAAATACACATTTAAAACTAACCAATAATTTTAATTAAACAAAAACATCATCACATAGATATAAACAAATAATTCCATACAATAACTAAAATAAATAAACTATTTAAGCACACAAATCCAATTAAACAATTAATTTAATTAAACATATAACAAATAGCCAAAAAATCAATTAACCAAATAAAATGCAATTAAAACAAATAATAAAATACCGAGACTATCCTTTTAAAATTAGGGATATTACATAATATCTCTTCATCCATCTCTATCCCAGAGTTAAATCATTCTTTATTTTTTTTCTCTCCGTTACCATCATTGATTCCCGATCAGGATACACAAATATATCACTTTACAGTACCTTTCTTCCCGTTATCTCCTGCATCACCACCGTTGCCATCGCCATTAAGTTGCCCTAAGAGACCATTCATTCCTCTTCCATGGTGGCATTTTCTCTCTCTCTTTTCTCTTCAAGCTGATGAACTCGGCTCTCTAGATCCGTCACTTGGTCGACAAGCCCATTCAGTTTGTTGTTGGTTTCTTGTAGAAGAGCATTAATCATACCCAACAGCTCTGCATACAGACACACACCACTTTTCATTTTCATTTTCTTTTCTTTTCTTTTCTTTTCTTTTCTTTTTTTTTTTTTTTTTTTTTTTTTTTTTTTTTTTTTTTTTTTTTGGAGTTAGGATGAAAATTTTAAAAACTTGTTATTTATTTTATTATTTTTATGTTTTGCAAAATTTTACATTTTCTTATACATATACATATATATATATATATAAAGGAGAGGAAGAGTGTTTTGATAAAATTTTAAAAGCAAAATTAGGGGGGGGGGGGGGGGGAGAAGAATACAAGAAAGGAATATAAGGATAATTTTGTCTTTGAAAATTCATGTTATTTTAATGGACATGTTAATGGAATCATTTGATTGCCATATTAATTTGTCTTTTTGTGTCACGTACATTATGCCTAACAAATTGGTCTAATCTTTCAGCCTGAGTATCATGACTTAATTTAAAATTGTTAGCTTCCACTCTTTACCACATTTCTAAATTGAGAAAACTACAAGAAGTACTAGGTAGACGGTCTCTTTATAATCCTCTTATTCCCATCGACATTGAAATCAAGTCCACTCTTAGGGAAGTTAGAAGGCGTGACAAGAAGCCACCTATCTCTAGCATTCACTTACTTGATCTCTTGGTGAATAATGACATTCCTCAACCCAGACCTCATCATGAGGCACATCATTTGCCTAATCCTCTACCTAGGGTTCTTAGGACCATTACGCTCTAAATGCATATAATGCTCCCACATGCTACCAAATGCCGAATGTTCGATCCAATCATTATGAGATTATGCCTGGAATCATCCAAATGTTGCTTTCTTTTTGTGGCCTCACACATGAAGATCCTTATCAGCATTTAGATGAATTCCTAGAGGTATGTTCTACCGTAAAAATCACTGATTTTCTGGAAGAAGCCTTAAGGATGAAACTCTTTCCTTTTTCCCAAAAAGAAAAGGTCAAATATTGGTTCAATACTCTCGGAGCAAATACTATCACCTTTTAGGCTCACATGCAACAAGAGTCTTTAAGAAGTATTTTCTTACGAGTAAGACCTATCAAATTCGGAGAGTATAATAGGTTTTTCTCAAAATGATGGCGAGAAATTCTACGAGGCTTGGGAAAGATTGAATGATTTGTTTTGGAAATGTCCTCATCATGACTTTCCAAAATGACAACTTGGTGAATGTTTCTATGAAAGCTTGTCCAACACACATAAACAAATGGTAGATGCATTATGTGGAAGTACATTTATACTAAAATATAAAGATGAAATTTGGACTCTCTTTGAAAATTTGAGTGAAAATTCCATGCACTGTGCTTCTTCCACTCAATCGGGTCAGGTGCCAATGTTAGGAGGAAAAAAAGTTGAAAATCTCTATAACATTGAAAAAATTTTAGAGGTTGCCGCTCAAGTTAAAATCCTTAATCAAAAGTTTGATCAATTCTTATTAGGACATCCTCCGGCACCTCAAATGCTTTCACCTTCTTCCACTCAAAGTGAAATTTGCATGATTTGCTCCAATCCTTATCATGTTACAACAAACCCCGAATGACTCTCAAGAGCAAGTCACTATCACATTCCCTCTCCCCAGCAACAATCCATATTACAATACCTACAATATTGGGTGGACTGATCATCCAATTTTTTTAAAAAAAAATTATATGAATTTTAGAATAAAATTAATAAATAATAAAATTTTACTTTCTATTTAGTAAAGTTATAAATTTTCAAACCATGTAAAACAATGTATTTTTATATATAAATAAGGGTTAAGTGCAAAAAAAAAAAAAAAACCCTTAAATTGGTCTATTGCAATAAACCCCCTTGAATTACAAAAAAACTCATCTGAACTATCAATTTGTTGCAATTAAGGACAATTCGGCAGCTAGGTTAATCGGAAAAAGTAAATTACAAGTGTACCCTTACTAAAACTACGTCGTCTTGGCACTTGTATACTTATCTTTATGACGTGGAAGATGCAATCTCAATCGCCAATGAGCCAATGACAACTGGACACCTTTAAAGCCAAAAAAAAAAAGGGCCGATTGTTACTCTTACACAGGGAGAGCGATGCGACACACAAAGCTCAACAAAACCTTTGTTTCTCTCACTATAAATCAAAGAAATTTCACTTATAAAGGGTTTGTGGATCACATATAGTGCTTCAATTTGTGAATCGATCTACAATGCCTTACATAGAGCGAGATAAGGCGATTTGAAAGCTTATGGTTCGAATGGGCAGAGGCAATGCTTCAATTGCTGCATATTACTACGTGACAATTTCGCATTTGCCAGGAAGAAACAGAGGACACCCAAATGGTTCATTTTAATAACAAATGCCATCGAAGCTATCGACAAAGACGCTAGTTTGTTGTTGATTTATATCCTACGCGATTCCAACTAAAGGTTTGGGGATTTTAGGCCTTTTTCGTTGGCAAGACGCTACAATTTTTAGTAGAATTCCTTTGTTGTTTTCATGATTGTGCAATTTCTTTGTATGCGGTGAACATGATTTTCTGTGAAAAAGACGATAAATAATGATTTATAATTATGTATATATATATATGTGCGTGTGTGAGATAATGGACATTGTGTTTTATGTCTCTTTTTTTATTTTTTATTATTATTTTGATAATGAAAATGTATAACAACATATATACATAAGTATGTGCGTTGACAATAAATAGTGACATAAGAGTGGGTTTGGAGGTTTTTTTTGTGTCATGGTCAAATGAGGGGCATTTGTGTCTTTTCATGCTCATAAGGGCATTATGGCCATTAAAATTATAATATTGGTCAGTCACTTTTAGGGCCGGTTTGGAGCTGTATTTGATTTTCAGTATTTTGGGCCCATATCATTTGGTGTGGGCTGAAGTGTTATTGAACAGTACCAAACCTGATATAGGAATTTGGGCAAACCCCAAGGCGAGTTTTTTCGTAACTTCCAATAGAACTAGAAATCCAGAAAGTCAGGTGACGACTGTAGTGCCAGTTTTGACTGATTTTATAAATCATAGACCTGATCATAGCTGGAAAATTCTGGTAGGAGTCATGAGAGGAAAAGGTAAGTTTATTAACTAATCCCCAGTCTACTGGATCCATGGACCATTCAAGGCCTGGAATGATAAAAAAGTCCAGTTTAAGAACCTTTTTGCCATTATAAAGAGTATCAAGGGTATTGATATCTTCATGATAAGTGGTATAATATGTTTTTATTATAGCATAATGATTTTCAATTTGTCGGTAGATAAACCGAAAAATATCTGGAGGTAAGATTTCTCTGGCTTTTTCCAGGAGACAAATACGGTTGATTTTGGCAAACGTATTCGTAGGAAACTCTTGTTCTCCTATTAACTGGGCAAGTTTAAGAAAACAATTAATTTGTGAAAGAGAAAAATCTTTTTCCCAGTCAATAGAAAGACAGCTTTTTATACAGAGCTGTTTAAGCTCAGTCGTCATAGCTGTTTGTTCAGCCATGAGAGCAGCAAGAGAACTCAGATGTTGTCTGAATTTTTTATTAGCACCGAGTTTATGTGCTTTCCAAACAGTGTTAAGTTCGTTGTACAAATTGTTTGGAAGACCAGGATCATAGAAATTGTTAATTTCTAAAATGTCTGGGTTTTTTGAAAACATTTTGTTTGAGGCTTGGCCCACATTATAGAAAACTGTTTGGGCTTCTATAAGTGTGTCATAAGCTTTAAAGCAAGAACCATTGAAGGAACGGAGCTGTTTGTGACAGTCGATCCAGTTCTCATAGATCCCAGGCTGATGACCTGCAAAAACCACGAACCATTTTTGTGGCTGTGATGGAGATGGTTTGGAGGTTGCCTTTTTAGCAATAGTGATCCATCCTCCTTTATCAGGTGTAGGCTTAGGATACTCATCCATCTGTTAGAAGGAGAGAAGAAATATCCTTGTTAGATACTTCCGTAGGTCTGCTTAAGAAATCTGCAAGAAAATTGTTAGTTCCTTTGACATGTTCAATAGCAAAAGAATATTGAGCAATAACATTATACCATTTTAAACGGACTGATGACACCCCATCATCTCCCATGATCCGGGCTCGCAAGAGTCCCATCTCCAAGCGTCTTCAAAAAGAAGAGCTCATTTGTGGATATAATTCTGAAAAATTTAAACCAAATGAACAGAATTATATTATCTATGAAAAAGAGCTTCTGGCAATAAAATTAGCAATAAAACGGTTCCATATTTATCTTGCTCCAGAAGATTTTATTATTAGAACAGACAACCAAGCTGTTAAAGATTTTCTAATCAATAAAAGAAATTGCTTAGATGGTCGCCGTTTAAAATGGTATAATGTTATTGCTCAATATTCTTTTTGGGCTAAGCCTTTAATAAAGGAGCGGCCATAATTCAAGATTCCTAAAAAGCTTTGAAGCTGCTTTTTATCTTGAAGGATATCGGGGAAATCACGGATCTTGATAATGATGTGATCCTGTAGTTTTATTCCTTTGTGGGTTAAAACTAATCCGAGAAAATCAATGGATTCTTGTTCAACATCGATTTTGGTTGGAGATAAAATGATGCCATACTTTTTCAGTTTTTCTGAAAGGCAGAGGAGATGTTTTTTATGCTCCTCTCGTGTTTTAGAGAAAACTAAAATATCATCAATATAAACAACAACAAAATCTTTAAGGTCATTAAAGATCGAATCCATCCAGCGCTGGTAAATCTGAGGCGCTGTATTAAGACCAAAAGGCATAACGGTCCATTGATAATGGCCGTGAGGAGTGCTAAATGCCGTGAGAGGTTTGGACTTCTTTCGCAGCTTTATCTGCCAGAAGCCAGCTTTACAATCAAATTTACTAAAGATTGTTGATCCTCTCGTTTGATTGATGAGAACATCTTTGCGAGGAATAAAATATCCATCAAAAATGAGATGTTCATTAAGCCGTTTATAGTTGATGACCATACGAGCTTTTCCACGTTTAACTTCACTATGGTTTCTAACCATGAAAGCAGGACTGCTGTGTGGGCTGCGTGTGCGTTCAATGAGTTTTTTCTCAAGGAGATCTTGAAGTTGGGCATCAAATTCATCGATGTCGCGGCGTAGATAGATCATGGGTTTAACACGAATAACGACATTGGGATTTTTAAGTTGTAGACGACAAAAACGAGGGCTTCGTTTCCACAAGGTAAGTGGATTTTCAGAGAAGTTTTGACGAAGCGAATTATAGAGCCAATGGATATCTTGTAGTACCAAGGCATCAGATTCTCGTTTGGGTGGAGAGAACTTTTCGTTACAAACGGAGGCTAAATTTTCCTGTATAGGAATTTCAACAACTGTTTGATCTTTTAGTGTTAACGAAATGGTTTTTTCGTTTAATTGTAAAGGAAGGTAACTATAGATAAAGTTACATCCTAAAATGAAATCGCCATGCATGTATGGGAAACACAGGATTTTGGGTATAATGAATTTTTTATCATTAAGCCAGATTGCTACATCCTTGGCCTTAAACTGGATGACGTTTAAAGGTGCTTCAGCGTCAATTCCTTGAACACCAATAGGATGTTTCATTTGTTGCCATTTTTCGGATGGCAGAGCATTGTATCTACAACAACTGGTAGTTGCGCCGGTGTCTATTAAAACACAAAGGCCATATGGTTTATAACCTTTGAAATTGAGAATGCCGTTAACATAAGTATATTTTCGTTTTTTGCCTTGCGAAGGAGCAATCAGAATTTCATCTTTTCCGGTGCGGAAATGGAAGAATTTTGCAGAATTCATCTTGTGTGTGGATCCAGGCAAAAAGGGGGCATCTTGAGGATCGATAGGAGTTTTTCCTTTTTCTGTCCATGTAAAACGACGTCTAGGAGGTATTTCGACGGATTTTCTTGGGGGAAGGAATCTGTCCCACCCAGGATTTCTTTCAGATACAGATCGTTGTAGCTGAGGTGGTTTTGCTTTATTGGTAACATAAAGATTTGAACCAGAAGCATGTATTGTAGTCACAGTGGGTTCTGTGATACGTAACTTGGGAACAGAATTGATGTTATCAAATAGCCAGGTTTTTGGTATTTCAAGATCGGTCCAATTGAGTAGTTTGGGCTCAATTATGGTATCGAATGGTCTTGGCTCGAATAGAGTAACTAGTTTAGAGTCAAGTGTAGGAACTGTGGCAGTTTCGGGTTCTCTAGTG